CGGGGGATGATTCTGGCGCTTCGTGTCGGTGGACGCCGGTCGTGTTTGTGTTCCGCTCCTCCCGTGGCGAGCGCGGGCAGCGCTCGCGCGCGCCCGGGGGGGGCACTGCGCGTCGCACCGGCGGCAGGCTCGGAGCGCAAGTTCTCGCTCCGGGGGGTCGGCGCGCAGCGCCGGGCAGACCCTTCGCGCGACGGGGCAGCGCTCGCGGGCGCGGGGGGGGACCTCCGCGTCGCGCCGGCGGCGGTCTCGCAGCGCGGTGTTTGCGCTCGGGTCCGCGCGCGGCGCCAGGCGGCATCCTTGCATGGTTTTTGGGCCGCTCGAGCGTGCGGGGGGGGAGGGGGCACTCGCACGTCGCCTCGGCGGCGGCTGCGGAACGAGAGTTGGGCGCAGAGTCTTCGGTTCGCGAGCGGGAGGGCGCCCGGCTGCGCGACGGAGCGCGGGCGGATGTCTCTGCGCGTGCGCGGGCGCGTCGTTGCGCGACCGCCGCGCGGAAGGGTGGGGGGACTGCATGGAAATCGTGAACGCGACAGCTTCTGGGACCCTCAGGCCGCGTCAGTGTTCGTCGGGTGCCGAAAAACTGTCAGGTTCCTCCATGGTACCTTGTGGTTGTTCTGAGTCCCGGGCGAGTCCTGCGGCCGCCCGACACGTCCTGAGGTTTCCCAGGGCGGCGCTTCCTGTGATTTTCTGGCGTTTCATGGGGTTCCTTGGTGCTTCCTAAAGCTCTGGAAGCCCAGAGCTCCCGAGGGCCCTAGGGCTCTTTGGGAGTTCCTGGGACTTCGTGGAGCTCCCTGAGGCCCGCTTGGGGCTCCCTTCGGAATTCCCGGGGAGGCTGATGCTCCAGGATCGTGGCCCTGGGAGCGCGGATCCTACGTTTGGTCTGCCTTTTTTTGGTTGTTGTGCGAGGGATTGCGGCCTGGAGAGCGCGGCTCCTACGTTTTTAGTTTTTTGTTTGTTTTCGAAGCTTCGGGAACATCCATCTCGCGTTTTGCACGAAGGATCGCGGCCTCGAGAGCGCGGATCCCCAGTTGTTTCAAAAGGGTCGTGGCCCCAGGAGCGCGGATCCTATGTGTGTTCGGTTCGTGGCCTCGGGGGCGCGGATCCAACGTGCTAGTGTTTTTGTTTTTGTTGTTGCTGTTGTTGTCGTTGCTGCTGTTGTTGTTGTTGTTGTTGTTGCTGTTGTTGTTGCTGGTGTTGTTGTGGTTGTTGTTGTTGCTGTTGTTGTTGTTGCTGTTATTGTTGTTGTTATTGTTGATGTTGTTGTTACCATTGGTGTTGTTATTGTTGTGACTGTGGTTACTGTTGTTACTGTTGTTATTGTTGCTGCTGTTGTTGATGCTGCTGCTGCTGCTGCTGTTGTTGTTGTTGTTGTTGTTGTTGTTGTTGTTGTTGAACTCTCATTCCTGAAGGATGATTATCGCTGATCCCCCCCACCGGTGCATACTGTTAGTGCGAAGGATGCCTGCAGACGGGCACGGGATTGAGAGGCCCAACGAGAGCGACTTCTCTATTCTTGTGCCACAATCGCAACGAAGTGTGGCACTACCGCTCTTTACGTGCATATCTCATTATATTATTGCTCAAGTCTTGAAAAGTTCGCTCGCATGGGCCTCGCGCGAGGCCCCCTTTCGACACTCGCGGCAGCGGCCATCCACGGGCTGGTGGCGCTCGGTGCCTGGCGGGCTGCGCCCCCGCGGGTCTGCCCGCGGCCGGTGTGCCCGGCGGCCCACTGCCCTCCTGCTTCGGGCGCGGGGCCGCCAGGCGGGGATCCGCCCGCGGGGCCTGCGGCTCTCTTCTCCGAGTTGCCGGAGGAGTTGGCGGAGGTTCGCGCCGCGGCGGCGCGGCTGGACGAGCGCGTCGCCTTGCTGCAGGCGACGGCTGACGCGGTGATCAGCTTCTGGCCGTTGATCTGGGTGCTGGTCGGCGGGCTGCTGAGGGACAGCTTCGAGCGGGTCAGGGCCATTCTCGCCCATCGCCGAGATGCTGTCCGCGAGGAGGTACCAGCTCTTCGCCTCGGACGGGAGCGTCGTGGCGGAGCCGGCCTTTATGAGTGAGGTGCGGCCGGGCCGCCGCTTGGCTTTGTGGTACTCGGGCGACACGTACTGGCACGAACGGTTGGCCCTGGCGTATGTACGACCAGGGGTATGGATCATCGTGATCCCTGATGGCGACAGGTACCCCGAGAACCTGAGGTGCCGTCGGGGTACCAGCGGAGCGGTTCAGGCGGTGTTGGTGGACCCCGGGAAGCCCACCCTCGACCGCATGCGAGGGCGCTTCTACCGCTTCAGGGAGCCGCTGGAGCCCTCGGAGCTGGTGGAGCAGGTCAAGATGGCTGAGGCGGAGAGCTACGCCATCACCCGCAGGGCCCCGGAGGCCCCCGCCTCCATCATGCTGTGGGACGGCACGGACGTGAAGTATGAGCCGTTGATGGGCTCGGAGGGCTCCGATTTGGTCCCACTGGCGGACGCCGATCGGCCTGCACATGGTGACGGAGCCGCACCTGCCGCGCTGCCCCCGCCCGAGCTGCCGCCGGATACGACATGGCTGATTGTGGATCCGCATTACCCCGACTTCGGCAGGGAGCGGCATCCTGGCCCGGATGCGCCCCGAGCGGGAGAGCATGCGATGGCTCTGGACACACGTAAGAAGCCCGTGCCTGTGAGGCAGGTGGCGCTGGTGGACGTCGACGCGTTCCTGGCTTCAGCTCGGACGGGGGTCGCAAAGATCCCCGAGGAGGATGCCCCTCCTGCCGCAGGGCGTCTGGAGGATCGGCTTCGCGAGGCGCTGGACGGCGGCGCCAAGGCCCCTCCCGCGGTGGAGGACGCGAGGACGCTGACGGTCGTTCACGACGAGCACGGAGAGCGATACAAGGAGTGGAGGTCCGTATGCGCAGAGATCTCCTGCAGCCATTTTGGCGATTGGGACAAGCATCACGAAGGACCTGCCACCGCGCTCTCCTTGTTCAAGAACATCCAGAGGCGGGGCGGTGACCCGAGATTGTGGCACGCGAACTGGCGCCGCGAGGCGGGAGTCAGCCCGCAGGAGAGGACATGGATTGAGATGAAGCTTCTGCCAGACATCCTGTACCTCAGTGGCTGCTACGACCAGTTGAATGGCCCATCTCTTGCATGCATCGAGTCGGTGTCGCGGCGCGTGTGCCAGATCATCGAGGCCTGCTCGACGGGCGTGCCTGGCCGCGCGAACTGTGAGGGCGTGAAGCACTTCACTCCCGTGGCTTCGGCATCGTCTGTGGCCCCTGCCGAGCTACGCCCCCGCGCGCACCGCCGCGCAAAGGAGGAGATGGAGATCGAGAGCATGCGTGTGCGCACGCGAGGGTTGCAGCCGCCTGGAGGACCTGAGGCGCCGCCGCCTGGTGGGCCCGTGAACCCGAAGGGTACGCCAAAGGGTGGCAAGACAGGAGGCCGTGGTCAGCCTTCTCAGGGAGCTGGCCAGGAGGGCGGCGGGAAGGTACCCCTGGCGCCGCAGGGGTGATGCGCCCGGCCGGCGGCGAGGCTGGTCGACTCGACGCTGGAGGCCTGGACCAGGCGGCATCGGACGAGCGAGTGAAGCGCGTTAGCATGCTGTCTCTTTTTCCGATTCCCCTTTCTCCTTTGCCTCCCATGCCGAGTGGACGTGGCCGGCAAGCATCTGGCTTGCGGGGCCATTTGCGGCGTCTAAATGCGGACGTCAATGCATCTTTGAAGGCTTTGAATTGGATGGCGGGTGACCGACATAAGGCTTTCTATGGGCCCCCATTCACCCCCGACCAGGCCAGTGTGCATGCGCGCGTTCGGGATAGGATTTCATCCCTTTTGGATTCCAACGTCGCGATCCCTGGCCAGCGAGCGGCTTTTCTCGAGCTGCTGCACGGCCGGGCTGTGTGCGAGACAGAGCCCGGTGGACACAACCTTGCCAGCTTCTCCAATGTAGCCTCTGTGAGCCTTGCTGACAACCTCGAGGGCGCCCCGATGGTGCAAGATGTTGTTGGCCCAGTGGCGAGCCAGTTTTTGGAGCAGAACTACGAGCGCATGCTGCGCCCTCTCTCGGATTTTTTGGAGCGACAGGAGTCGCTGCCCCCCATGCGGCCCTACTGGGACCCAGTGCTGGCTCGTAGTCGTCGCACGCTTCTGCGGCTCACGCGAGCCCTCCTCAGGGTTGGTCTGGCGATGCTGCTGCCTGCTGGATCAGCCCAGGAGCACGTAGGCATGTTTGTTGTAAAGAAGGCAGGAAAAAAGCAAAAGTCGTTTGATAATAGATGCACGCCGTGCGACTCGCCGTTTTGCCGAGCCCCCTGGAGTTCACCTTTGTTCTAGTGAGAGCCTCGCGAGGATTGAGGTCAGCTTGCCGCCAGGTTGTCCCAGTCTCTCTCCCGATCAGCTAGCTCAATGGCGCCCAGATGTCTCTGGGGCTGGCGGATGTTAAAGACGCGTTCCATCGATTTCGTATTCCCAGTGGTCTCGCCAGTTATTTTGGATTGGGGTCAGCCACAGCGGGGGAGCTGAGCGTCGTCGGACAGGATCTTGGTGGGGCCTCTTGGGCATAGATGACCAGGTCGATATTTGCTGGGCCTCTTTGCCAATGGGCTTCTCTTGGTCTCTGTATTTCTGCCAGCAGGCGGGGGGGCAACGCATGAAGGACGTCCCGGGTCTCGCACCCTCGACCCTCCTTCAGGACCGGGGGGCGCCAGGGATCTTCCGGTCCTCGGAGCGCCTTGACCCATCTTCGGGGATCTCGGTCTTGGAGGGTTCTGGGATTTCTCATTACATCTACGTGGACAACTTGGGGGTGATCAGTTGTGATCCAGTCAGTACGTCGTCGACGTTGTCGGACGCCTCGGATCGGTTCGAGAAGGTGGGGCTGGCGACCCACGAGCACGAGGTGAGCTCGGACCAGTCGAAGGCTCTGGGGACCCGCTTGGACCTCGAGTGGCTCAGCGCGTCCCTCTCGCCTGCCCGTCTCTGGAAGGTCCGACAGGGAGTGCTGTGCGCCTTAAGGTGTCGGAAGCTCCCAGGTCGAGCATGGGAGGTGCTGCTTGGTCACCTCACGTTCTGCGCTTTGATCAGCAGGGGCATGGTGAGCGTGGAGCATCTACGCGTTCATTCACAAACATTATTCTGTACCTGCGCCTTTGTGGGGCACCGCCCGACAGGAGATGACCGCCGCTGCGTCCCTGCTGTTCGTGATGGATGCCTCCTGGGCCCTTCCCTGGGCCTCCAGTGCGGTTGCGACCGATGCGTCGGAGGAGGGGTTTGGGGCAACCGTTTCCTATTGAGCCCCTGACAAGGTGGCGCAGGTGGGAAGGATCATGGAGAGGGGACGCTTCAAACGACTTCCTGGGACGTCGGCTCGCGACAGATTTGTTGGAAGCATGGGGGATCTTGGGTCGGAGGGGGAGGAGCGCGATGAGAACCAGCCCTACGCGATTGACTCCAGCTTCCCCGAGGTTCCCCACAAGGAGCTCTCTGAGGCCAACTGGATCACTCTCCTTGCAGGTCCTTGGAAGTACTTGGATGAGGGCATCTATACCCTCGAGTCGCGCGCTTCTCGTTGGGTTTCCAGGCGGTGGTGAGCACCCATCACGTTCGAGGAGCAAGGCTACTATTCTTGGCCGACAATATGGGGGTTTGTCTGTCTTTCGCTCGAGGTCGCACCGCAGATTTCCGTTCTCTTATGTGTGTGAGGAGGACGGTGGCTTGGTGTCTTAGTCTGGGCCTTCGGGTGCATTTCCGTTGGATACCCTCCGAGTGGAATTCGGCAGACAAGCCGTCACGAGCATTCTCAGTAGAACATTGTGGCTCTTCTGACTCTCCTGGTGTTGGTTATCGTGTTCCCATCGATCCAGAGCCAGACAAATGCAGCGCGACTGATGCTTCGGGGGGCGGCCCCCAAGGCCAAGCTCCGCCCGAGAGGCGAGCTGGCCAGCCAGCCATCGGGGTCGGCCTCGGCCCCAGCCCGTCCGACTTCTTCGAGAGCGCTGGTTCCGACGGCAACCCCGCCAGCAGTGGGCAGCACCCGGCAGCCCCGGCAGCTGGTGCCAGGAGGCGAGCTGGTTTCGCGACTCCAGACGAAGGGGCCGCCCCCGCCGACGGACAAGCCTCTCGGCAACAGTTCAGATACAGAAGCGACAGTGATAGACAAGAGCAGCGACAGGACCTCAGACACCGAGCGGATCGTAGTCAGGCCCCGGCGCCGCACTCGCAACTTGGAGTTGCCTCGGGTGGAGCGCCCCCGTGCTCCGCTCGGGCCATCGCGAGTTCAGGGGCTCGGACTGCAGCCGCTGGAGTCCAGCGCGGTGAAGGCCTCCACGGAGATTCAGTACCACGACTTGGTGAACCTCTGGAGATCCAACGCCCGCGACCTCGGCGAGCCGCTAGGCGAGGCTGCCGAGGTGGACGCGTCGGTGGCGCGGCAGCTGCAAGACTTCTTCGACCAGGGCGAGAACGTCAGCAAGGGGGAGAAGCTCGTGGCGGGCCTGGAGCACTTCTTGCCGGAGTTCGGCAGGCGCGGCGGGCTGCACCTCTCCCGGAGCTGCCGCGCCCTCCGAGGCTGGCGGCGCCGCTGCCCGCCCCGATCGCGCCGTCCCCTGGCCTTCTGCCTCTGGGCAGCGATTATCTGGGAGTTCTGCAGGGACAACTGCTGGAACATGGCGATCTACACTCTGTTCATGCTGGTGACGTACATGCGGCCCTCGGAGCCGCTCAAACTGTTAAAGGAGGACATGCTGGCTCCCGCCCACGGCCTCTCTGCCTCGTGGATCTGCTTCGCTTTTCGCCAGGAGAGGGGCCAGTCGTCGAAGACGTACGCCACGGACGAGAGCATCGAGCTCAGTTGCCAGTGGGTGCCGTATCTCACGACTGTGGTGGTGGCCCTCAAGCAGGGCCATCCGAAGGAGAAGGTGTTCAGTTTCCTCTACAGATCCTACACGCGCCAGTTCAGGCACATATGCAAACAACTCGGTCTGACCGCAGTGCCATATCAGGCAAGGCACTCAGGCGCCTCCATCGACGCCGCCATGAAGCACAGAACACGGGCCGAGATAAAAGCCCGAGGCGGTGGAAGGCGGACACGTCAGTTCTCAGGTACGACAGCAAGGCCAAGATAGTAGGGAGCGTCGACAAGCTGCCAGACTCGTTGCGGTCTCACGTCAGGGCGTGCGAGCTCCGTCTCGGGGACCTCTTGTGCGGCCAGATCGACCCCTCGGCCATCGTGCTGCCCGCCATCCCGAGCTCAGCCCCAAAGAAGCGACGCCGTACCTAGCCGACCTTTTTAGAGGCACAGGTGGGGTTGGGCGAGCTGCTGGCAGATGCGGTATTAGAGCCAGGTTGTGGGATGCGCCCGTTTCGAAGTCATTGGATCTCACTGATCTGAAGAATATCGACTTGCTGCGCTCTGAGGCTAAGGCAGGACAGATACTAGCTGCCATGATCGCTATAGAGTGTCGGTCTTGGGGCATAGCTCGCCACAGGATCAATGTAATTCGGTCGCAGCAAGAGCCCTGGGGTGTTGCCAATCCTGTGAAGCCCTTCTCGGACAACGATGTCGAATCACTGCAATCTGGTAACCTCCAGGCCCGTCGTGTACTCAGACTCCTTCGGACCGTGCATGCCTTGGGAATTCCGTGGGCCATCGAGAATCCGAATACTAGTCTCCCGTGGCACACCCCAGAGCTCAAGTACTTCGAAAAGGACCCGAGGGTGCATGTAAAGTTTGTGGAGCAGTGCGCTTTTGGGACTGCTTGGCCGAAGCGCACTCGCTTGATGTTCGGGAATTGTGACGCTCACGACGTTTCCTTGTGCGATCAGTATGTTTGTGGTGGCCGGGGTGCATGTCAGTGCTCCAAGAAACGCCACGCCGAACTCGAAGGAAAGACAATGACTTCCAAGGCCCAGGTTTACCCGCCCAAATTCGCCCACCTCCTGGCCAAAATCCTTTGCAGTGGTTATGTATACAGCCGCGCTGTCTACCCATCAACTTCTAAGATCACATCCATTTGGGACGATTCGGGGGATGAGGCACTCAACAGCTCCAGAATATAGATTCTACCGCCTTGCCCTGCCGAGAGAGAGCCAGCGCGCGACGACGGTGGCCAAGTTGATGAGACATATCGCGGACAAAAAGGAAGTGCAGGACCCTCATGTTAGTGCGAAGGATGCCTGCAGACGGGCGCGGGATTGAGGGGCTCAACGAGAGCGACTTCTCTATTCTTGTGCCACAATCGCAATGAAGTGTGGCACTACCGCTCTTTACATGCATATCTCATTATATTATTGCTCAAGTCTCCCGCCCCCCTCTCCCTCTCGTTTTTCCGGTCGCTCTCGTTTTCACTCCGCGTTTCGAAAGGGGATGAGGCACTCAACAGCTCCAGAATATAGATTATACCGCCTTGCCCTGCCGAGAGAGAGCCAGCGCGCGACGACGGTGGCCGAGTTGATGAGACATATCGCTGACAAAAAGGAAATGCAGGACCCTCATGTTTTTCCCAACCATCCTGTGGTGTTGGGTCCTCGTTTTGAAGAGACGGTGCCCCGCGTTCTCCTTCCTTCCTCCCGCTGCCTCCTCCCCCCTCCCATCATCATCATCATCAACACCCATTTCGGCACACCCCTCACACGTTTCGTGGCTCCATAGGGAGCTCCACCGAAGGCCCCAGTGCCCGCGGCCGCATGCGTCCCCCACACCCATTTCGGCACACCCCTCACACGCTTCGTGGCTCCATAGGGAGCTCCACCGAAGGCCCCAGTGCCCGCGGCCGCATGCGTCCCCCACACCCATTTCGGCACACCCCTCACACGTTTCGTGGCTCCATAGGGAGCTCCACCGAAGGCCCCAGTGCCCGCGGCCGCATGCGTCACCCACACCCATTTCGGCACACCCCTCACACGTTTCGTGGCTCCATAGGGAGCTCCACCGAAGGCCCCAGTGCCCGCGCCCGCATGCGTCACCCACACCCATTTCGGCACACCCCTCACACGTTTCGTGGCTCCATAGGGAGCTCCACCGAAGGCCCCAGTGCCCGCGCCCGCATGCGTCACCCACACCCATTTCGGCACACCCCTCACACGTTTCGTGGCTCCATAGGGAGCTCCACCGAAGGCCCCAGTGCCCGCGCCCGCATGCGTCACCCACACCCATTTCGGCACACCCCTCACACGCTTCGTGGCTCCATAGGGAGCTCCACCGAAGGCCCCAGTGCCCGCGGCCGCATGCGTCCCCCACACCCATTTCGGCACACCCCTCACACGTTTCGTGGCTCCATAGGGAGCTCCACCGAAGGCCCCAGTGCCCGCGGCCGCATGCGTCCCCCACACCCATTTCGGCACACCCCTCACACGTTTCGTGGCTCCATAGGGAGCTCCACCGAAGGCCCCAGTGCCCGCGGCCGCATGCGTCCCCCACACCCATTTCGGCACACCCCTCACACGTTTCGTGGCTCCATAGGGAGCTCCACCGAAGGCCACAGTGCCCGCGGCCGCATGCGTCCCCCACACCCATTTCGGCACACCCCGCACACGCCTTCGCTGGCTCCATAGGGACCAGAACGAAGGGCCCCAGGTTGCCCGCGCGCACATGCGTTCCCCCACCCCCATTTTCGGCACCCCCCTCACACGTTTCGTGGCTCCATAGGGAGCTCCACCGAAGGCCCCAGTGCCCGCGGCCGCATGCGTCCCCCACACCCATTTCGGCACACCCCTCACACGTTTCGTGGCTCCATAGGGAGCTCCACCGAAGGCCCCAGTGCCCGCGGCCGCATGCGTCCCCCACACCCATTCCGGCACACCCCTCACACGTTTCGTGGCTCCATAGGGAGCTCCACCGAAGGCCCCAGTGCCCGCGGCCGCATGCGTCCCCCACACCATTTCGGCACACCCCTCACACGTTTCGTGGCTCCATAGGGAGCTCCACCGAAGGCCCCAGTGCCCGCGGCCGCATGCGTCCCCCACACCCATTTCGGCACACCCCTCACACGTTTCGTGGCTCCATTAGGGAGCTCCAACCGAAGGCC